AAATTAAACATTTGGAAGTCAAAGTAAAGGTCTAACTCTTTCTCGTATTTAGTTTTAAATTCATTATACTCTTTTTCAATATCTTCTAAAGTTAAATCAAGTTGATCTTCAAGCCATACTACTCTTCTTTCTACATCAACAAAAATACTTTCAACATTTTTAATATCATCAATGCCACTTGTTATATATTGTTTAAAATCATTTAATAACATTTCATATTCTTGTCTTTTTTTAATAACAGCAGCTTCACTTTTTCTTTTAGTTTGGTCTTTTTCACGTTGTTCTTTAATTTCTTCTTTAATATTACTAGCATTAAATGTTGGAATTAATTGAATAGTAGAGTTTTCTATTTTAATAGAGCTGATAAATCCTTTTTCAATGGAATTAAAATGAATTGTAGCATTAGTGTCTTTTTCCATTTTTTCAATAGAATATATTCTAACACTTCTGTTTGTTCCACTCATATCAGCAATAAACTCTAATCTATTTGTTTTACCTAAAGGAATATTATATACTTGATCTAATGTTATTTGACGCTCATTATTTATAAATGGCATTTCTTGTTCATTAACTTTTATATTAATTGGATATGGAATAATATCAGTAATGTTCATTGGACTCTCTAACATATTTTCTAATGTTATTAGAATTTTGGCACTTTCCATAAGATATTGGTCTCCACTCAAACGAATAGAATAATTTCCAACTGTTTGTTCAATGACTTCTTTAATTCTAGGTGTATAACTTAACCCTCCAATAACAAAAATTGTAGAATTTTCATTTAATTCCTTTTTAATAGTATTTAATATATTTTCTAATGGTTTTAAATCATCAGCAATAACGGTATTAAATTGGTCTCTGGTTATTGTAACATTCTTTTCAAGTTCTTCAATAAACATAGTAATTTCTTGATTTGAAGATAATTTAACTCTTAATTCATTAATTTGGTTCATGAAATTATGATTCTCTAAAACACCTCTAACTGAACCAACTAAACTAGCTAACTTCTTGTTTAATGTATGAACAGAGAGAGGAATTATATCACTAGAAATAATAGAAAATTGTGTTCCATTAATCATTTTAACTTTAGTGATAGCAGTTTCATGAGCACCACAATCAATCATAAGATACTCATCCTTCATATCAATTATTCTCTTTGAGACAGCACCTAAAATCATTCCAGCATGTAATTTATGTTTTGTAATGAATTGAACTTCTGGAAGAATAAGTCTAATACGATCGATGTCATATGGAGTAAATGAAGATGGAATAATGAAATAAGAAGAATGTCTAGAATCTATGCTAAACAAGTTAGTAAGAGAAATACGTGTATTATTTTCATTATCTAATTTATAAAATAAATTATCCATTTGGAGTGCTAATAATGAAGTAAAGTCTTGATGGATGGTACAATTTTCTATTTGTTCCATTTCATTATAAAGTGGTGAAATGGTATTAATTAATTGATTTCCAATCATTGATTGTGCTTGTTGTCCATAAATTAAATCTTGGCGTTTACAACGATAAGCAATTTTAGAATAAATATTTCTATTCCCATGACTATCATCAAGAATATCTATTCTGTTATTAGAATACCAAGCAACTGAAATATGTTCATATCCATAATCTACAATTATAGCTCCTTGACAATAAGCAAATAAAGTTATAACAATGGTAAATATAAGTAATCTTACCATTCTTTCAATTTAAAGTTCTTGCAATTTCTTTTTGTTTCAGTTTTAGTTTTTTCTAAATTTTTATTATTTATTATTATTTTAATTGTTATTTAATTAACTTGGTACTTTTTCATTCTGTATAACAAAATTAAATATCAATTAATAAATTAATTAACAAATTGAATTTTCTTTTTATTGAGAGAATGAATATTTCAAAGTCTTGACACTATACCCTTCTTCTATCATAGAGCTGATTTACAATACATCACATACAGATATAACAAAAAAGAAGAAAGAAAAATAATCAATTGCAAGAATGAATGGTATACTTGATTATATGAAGAGGAGTCTTAACAGCAAAGAATACATATGGATTTGCAAACATATCAGTTTCATCTACAAGAATATCAGCTTCAACCCATTTTTGAGCATCAGAAATTCTTTTTTCAGGAGTGAATAAATAACCTTTAATTTGTCTCATTCGATCAGGGAAATGAACTTCAATTGAATTTAAATGAACCAAAACACTAAATCCAACTTTTTCTAAAAGGTCTATTAATTGAATATCATAACAATCCCAAAAAACATGTCTTAAAATTCCTTGTTCTTTCATCTGAAGACGAGCAATATCAAATTCATTAGTAATTTCAGGTGGGATAGAATAAATAATACTATTAAATAATGCCATCATCTTTTCACAGAATTGATATAATTCATATTCAAGGTCTTTACATAACTTTCCTTTACCACTAATTAAATCAGGTTCCATGTATAACCTTAACATATTTTGTGCATGTAGTTTTAAAGCAGGTGGATAATTACCAAATAAACTAGAAAAATCAAATTTAAAGATACTTTCAGTTTCTGGAATGAAAGATCCTGTAGTAATTCCTTTGAAATTTTTATCTAATACTACACCACAATTTACTTTTGGTAATGTTCTATAAACTTTTGCTGGAGAATGCATCATTGTAGCTACATCAACTTTCTTTGAAGAATAAGGTAAATAAAGATAATCAGCTAAAGTAACAGGTACAAAACTCCAGTTTTTCATTGAAGAATGCATAATATATTCTGGATGTTTAATAATTACTTCAACTAATTGTTTTGATAAAGAAGCTTCAATGTTTTTAATTAATTCTCTAGACTTTATTAAAATAATAGCATGAACAGTAACATTAAGAGTAGGTGAAACAATTGCATGATTTATTCCTTTTAATAATTCAAGGAATTGGTCATAACTAAATTTATAATTGAAACACATATGTTGATAAAGATTTTGTGATATTCTAAACCATGTGTTTGAATTAAATGTTATACTTAAAAATGGATTTGATATATTTCTTTCTATTAATTCCATTACATCTACATCTTCAATTCCACTTGATGTTGATGTAATAAAAAGAACTTGTGGAGTATCTTCCTTACAATAACTTGTTGGAACAATACTAGTTCTTAGTTTTAAATGAAGTGTTGGATTATAATAAGTAAAACAAGAAAATGGATCAATTCTTGGATAAATAATTTTAGCTTTATTAAATGAATAAGTAATTTGGTCTAGTCCTTCCACTTCAAATGCTTTAATACAACGTGCAACAGATATATTTAAAACAGTATAAAAACAGTCTTTTTTCCAATCATTAGAAGGTTGACATCTCATCAATTCTTTTGCAAATAAATTAAATTCTTCCCCTTTATGTCCAACAAGTGTAAATTTTTTAACATTTCCATCTTGAGATCTCTGAGGAATTGCAATAATTTCTGCAATTTTATCATATGAACGTATTTGATCAAAAGTAGTTAATGGAATAGAACAATCAAATTCATGTGTTTCTAATATACTTAAACTATATTCAATCAATGATGAGACTTTTTTAGCTTCATTTTCCATTCCAATTATATTAACAATATATTCATCTTGGTTTATTGTTACTGATAATTCTTGAAGGAAAAATGCTCGTTTTAATGTAGAAAAAAATAATGCTCCTTTCTTACATAAGAAACGCATTTTAGCCATTTGATTAGTTTTAAATGAAACATTAACTATTTTAATAGGAGAAAGGAATTGAACCAATGCTTTACATAATTTATCATCGGTACAAAGATCATTTACAAATGTATGTACAGCATCTGTAGAAACTACACAAAATGGTAATCCTGATATTAATGCTCTTAATTCTAGTGGCATAATTTTAATTGTTGAATTATATTTTTGTATTAATTCTTTACTACTTTCACAACTAGTAAAATCTGTTAATGCTGTAACACGATTTTTAGCAATTAATAATGCACGTTTTCCACAGGGACCAACATATTGATATGAATTTTCTCTAGTAATATTTTCTGATCCACTTGTAATTGCAATATATCCTAAATGATTCATTCTTGGAGTAAATAATGTTGGTGCACTAAACTTAACAGGAACATAATCCAATTTCTTAATAAAAATTGCTAATGAATATAAGCAACGAACCTTTTCTAATAAATCTGGTGTTTTAAAATGTAGTTGTAATGTATTTGGTTCAATAACAACTATTTCACATTGAATTAAATTTTCAATATCACCAACTCTTAAAAAATAATCTATTGCTGGTAATGAGACTGGATCAAATATAAAATGTGTTAATGTTGCTAACTGTTTAGCTATTTGTTCAGCATTAGTACTATTACATGTATGAAAATCTCCTATTAATACGTTAGAACTAAATTCTAATGAAAATAATGTATTTAACTTTTTTGTTATTTCTGGGTCTCCTTTATTAATCAATTGAACAATTACTTCTTCAGTCATTTTCTTCTCTCCTTTTTTAGTTCTTTTTTTTTCTCCTTTTTTTAAGTTCTTTTTTTGAAGTTCTAACTACAAATGGTTATCTCTTTTGATTTTATACAACTCTGGTACAAAGAAAAAGGTAAATAATCTTAAAAATAACATTTGTGGATGAAAAAGAGATCACATGAAAAGGTTATTAAATCAGTTGAAATGAAAAAACAAGAACTTCCAAAAATTCTTTCTTTCTGGGAAAAACAAAAATTATTTTTATTCAATTTAAACCAAAAATTGTCGGATGTTTGTGATATTGTTAAATCTCATTGCTCATTTTTGGAGGAAAGTCAAATCCATCAAATTACAGGATTTACTAGTTTGTTATTATTTCCTTTTATATTCATTTCTTATAATGAAAGGTATTTATATTAATAGAAAAATGTCATTCAGAACACATTTTAGAAGCAATTTCCTTTATTGGAAGTAGTTTTGACATTCTAAAACAAGAGATAATCTGTTCTAATAACAAAACTGATGAAATTATTAATGAACTTAAAAATATGAAAAAACTATTTTATTCATCAAAGAATTCTGAAACATTAACTTCTACATATTATAACTTAAATGAACGAATTAAATGGGAAACTCCATTATTATTTTCCAATATTTTTCATGCATTTCAAACATTATTTTCTACTGGTGATTTATTTTTTAGTTGCAATGATACTTTGACAATGATTATTGAACAAGCTCAAAAAGCAAAACAAAATTATGTTATAAAAAATGTAGAACCAAAACCAAATGTATTATATTGTGGTACTAAACTAAAAGAGATATTAGAATCTGAAGGAAGACCTTATTATCAATTACCTCGTATAATAGAAAATATATTAATTTATTTATATAATAAAGGATGTACTACCCATGGAATTTTTAGAGAAACTACTAATGCTTCTATTAGAGACGTTGAAGAAATTTATCATCGAATGGGTGTTACTGACTTTGAAGATCTTCCACCTGATGTTGTTGCTAATGTATTTAAAAAGTTTTTAAGAGAAATGAAAGAAAAAGTATTTCCATATGAAGTTTCAATGTATTTATTAAAAGAATGGCAAAAAGGAAGAGCAAAAACAAGAACAACTGCAGCAGAAAAAAGAAAAGTTGTATTAGAAGGATTAAAGATGATGCCACCAGAAAATGTGACGTTATTAAGAAGTATTTTGAAGTTATGTAGTAAAATTGATTCAATGTCTGATATAAATGCAATGACTAATAAAAATTTAGCTGTTTGTTTAGCACCAACTTTAATGACAGTTAGTGAAGATGTAAATTCAAAAACATTAGATTTAAAATCTGGAGGAGAAATTGTTGGATGTATTGAAGTTATTACTTTTATTTTAGTTGATTATCCTCATATTTATCCAAATGACGTTGATGTTAATGTTACTCGTAGATCAAGGAGAATGTCTCAAAGACTTGCCACTTGTCTTGCTGAAGGAATGAATGAAGAAGAAGAAATTTATAAAGGAATAGAACAAATAAAGAAAGGAACACAAGAAGAATCTGACATTGTAGAGTCAAGAGAAGAAATAGTACGCCCTTTAATTCCTAAACCATTGTTAGATGATATTCGTATGGTACCTCCAATGTTAAAAGAAACAAAACAAAATGAAGTAAATAAAGAAAATGAAACTTCTTTATTAAAAAAGAGATGTTTTGCTGTGAATTTAACTCAACAAGACAAAATAGAGTTGTTAGAAGATAATAGTACTAGTCATGAAAAAGATAGTGAGAATAATTGTACTGCTAACTATGATATCTCTCATCCACCACCTGTTCCTCCTAGAAGAGGGAATTTAAAACAAAAACCATTAGTTTGTCCCAATTCATCTAACGTGAATATAAATTAAAACCCTTCTGTTTTAAAAATTCATTTTAACACTTTTAAAAACTCACTTGAATATTTATACCTTTTATGATTATTTGTTTTTATTATTACTATTAGGTCAAAGTCTATCAATTTTATTTGAAAGAGCAAATTTATTCACTCAGTCATTATATTGACTTGTTTCCTTTATTATAAATTTATTAAATGAATAATACCTGTGTTTATTCTATTAAACAAGTGTTCCATGTATATCAAAATGAAGTTGTACAATACTAGAATAGTATTTAAAAATAAATCACAGCATTATGTTGGTTAATCTATAAAGAGAAGCAACTGAAAGGTTAAGATGACATTGATTATAAATCAAAAGAATTATGGAAATAGTAATTATATAATTGAGTGTTATATCATTTAATGACATTTATAAAATGGAATTGTTTTTTTTTTCTTTCATATTCTGCAACAACGAATATTTTTAAATAGACAATTATTGTTACAAATATATTTTGTTGGTTAATATAAACAAACTCATTAATAAAAAAATAGATAGATGTTGTTTAATTGGTTACTTTCAACCGAATCAAAGAAAATGTTTATTAGTAAGAAAAATGTATTTTTGATTCAAGACAGTTATTCTGTTTCTCTGTGTGTTAATGTGAAAATGTCTTTTACTGAAAATGAACATGTTGTAATTCTAAGACGATTAATTTATTAAGAAATATTTTTGTTTATTGTATGAATATCATTCATTGTTATCTTCAAATCAAAGAAGAAATATACATAAATTGTGTAAGTTAATGTTTTGAATAAATTTGAAAGAATAAAATTAATATGTTGTACAAAATCTTATGTTTTATAAATCAACTACAATATTTATTATTTCATTCATCACAATTGATTTATCAATTCATAGTTTCAATACATTTCATTACCTTAATGTCATAATTCATTATGTTAATTTGAATTCAGTATTTCATTTAAAGTTTTTAATGTAATTAATGAAAGTTAAACATGAAATGAAAGTTAAACATTATTAAATTAAGTTGTATTATTTCATTCTACTAACAAAATTAGTGAATTGTCCCCATGCATTTCCATCATCAAGAAGTCCTCTTGTCATTCTCAAGTATGTGAATGCTGTTAATCCATGTTGTTTACATTTATTGATGATTTGATTAAATCCATTAGTATTACATCCTCCATATCCACATAATTCAAGTGCGTTTTCTCCACATTTGCCAATTCCAACTGTTCCTGCTGCATTAAATGCTTGATCAACTAAATTAGCTGGTGATGATCCACAATTTCCATCAGTTCCACTCATTTCAAGACAGGTAAAGTCAAATCTAACATTATTATTTTTGAATGTATTAGAAAGTGTTTTGTATGCATCATTTCCATTTGAGTTGTAATATCCAGCTGTCATTTCAGCTGCATGTGATTGGTCATTATACCACCAATGAACTCCTGATATTTTACCTGCAAGTGCAAGTGTATTTCCAAATACATTTCTTGCTGCTGAAAGAACTTTATCTGTATGACTTAATAACAAGTCAAAATACCATTCTTGGAAGAATCGTCCATATTCACTTTGGTAGTTATCAAATCCATTTCCAAAGAATCCTGTTGATGAGGGTGGTTTAGAATTATAATTTCCTGCATTTGATGGTGATCCATTTCCCCATTCTGAATGTCCTTTATCTGTTGCTGCTTTTTTAAGTAATTCTTTTGACTTACCATCATTACATTGGAACTCTCCTACTCCACAATAACTCCACCTTGAAAGTGGATATGATGGATATCTAGTTTCTCCACATGGTCCCATACCAACTTGAATTTCATTAATTGTTCCATCATCAATATAACTTTGGAAGTTTTGTTTAAATGATGTCATAAAGTCTTTATAAATTTCAATTGGTGTTCTTCCTTCAAAAATAGATGAATCATCATATGCAAATGAAATATATTCATTATTAACATTATTTTCATTGTCTTTAAAGAACGCATCATTTGCTGCTCCTGCATTTCTTACCCATTGGGGAATTTCAATTGTTACTGAATCTCCTACATTTCCTCCACATTTATGGAATGACATAACTGCTTGGAATTTTAATCCTGCTTTTTTAACCATTTGAACTAATTCTTTATATCCATTCCAATTGTAATTTCTTGGTGATGTTTCTACAAGTCCCCACCAAACATCTGCCATAACACCAGCAACTCCTCCTGATTTAATTTTATTTAAGTCATTTTGAAGTTGTCCTTTATTATTAACTCCATTGGAATTGACTGTATCAAGTGGCATCATCAAATTGACTTCAGTTGCTAAAGCCAAAGTAACTACACTTAAGAAGAATATCATTATTTGAATAATTTCAGTTTTGTGTTGTTTAAATCATTGATTTTCATGAAAAACAATTTAATAATACTTTTCAATCAACTTTTCTTTTTGATGAATAAACTCTTTTAATCTTTCTTTTGAATTTTCTTTTCTCTTTTTCTTTCTTTTAAATTTTCTTCTAACTTTTCTTTTTTGTTATTTAATACAAAAAATATATTGTTTTAAATAACAATATTTTTTTACTTTTTTTCCTTCTTTTTCTGTTGGGAGAAGGTTGAAACGAAATTCTTTGTTGATAACTAAGGAAGAATGAATCATTTCATGTTTTGTTAAATTTAATTGGTTTGGAAGCAAACTTATAAATAGTACCCAAACCGTTGAGGTTATTCCTTTTTATATTAAAAATAGAATGAAATTAATTTTTTTGTAATAAAAATTCCATTCCACTGTCATTTACTCAATACTTTAAATTTTTTATTTTACTTACCTTAAATAAGTAATAATATATAATGTGTAAAATCATATTTCTAATTAATGTAATTAGACTAACTTTACATTCAATAATGGCTGTTCTTTTAAAAAAGTGATTAGTCTTTTTTTTAAAAAGTAGATTATTGAATCTGATAGTTATTAGAATCAAAGTAGAAGATGTTCTTTTAGAAAATATTCATTTATTCTTAAACTCTAGAGACATCTAAAATATTGTCAATGATTATATTAGTCTTATTGATAAGTTATTCATTTGGTAAGACTCAAGACGGAAAAGATCAACTTTCTCCAAATTATCCTTATGGAAAGATGAATAAGGATGTAAACTTTAACAAACCTTTTACAAGTGCTGTTGATAGTTATCAAATTCAACAATATGCTGAAAATGGAGTTTTTAGTGCAAATCAAGAAAATTATGTTCGTGCTAAGTGTAAAACATGTTGTAGAGTTATTTTTGCATCTGATTATAATTACAAAACTAACACCCAATTTACTGATGAAGATGATAAAAAAGGAGATGAAAGATATGTTATGGATATGGAATTTGATGATAAAAGATCAGTTAGATTCCGTAATGGAGGGTATGAACAAAACATTTTATTAAGACCATTGAAACAAGGAAATGAACTTCAATTCTTTGAATTTGCACCATACAGAATGTACACAAGTTATGCAATTCCAAAAAGAGTTCATGATATTAGAGGTGGAGCAAACGAGGGAGCAACTCTTATTATTTGGCCTAAAAACCCACCATTATCAGATGCACCAGGTACTAGAAACCAACGTTTTGTTTATGTTCATCCTTATCCAACTGAATGGTATCCAGAATATAATTCAACTACTAAGTATACTCAAAATGGAAAAACAGTGATTAAAACTCTTAAATGGCCTACATATAAAAGACACTTCTATCTTCCTTATCGACTTGATGTTGATCTTTGTTATCAAGCCAGAAAAGCAACTGATGGTAGATCAACATGGACTGGAAATAAAAATCTTAATACAACAAGTAAAAGTTACCAAATTATAGCATCAAGGTGTAGTGCAACTGAAGCAAGACAGATCTTTATTCCTGTGTTTGCATAACTTTTGGAAATTAAGTTATTTTGTTTTCTTTTCGATATTGAAGTATGTATTAATTTCAAATTATATTCATAGTTAAATAGTATTATTTGTCTAAAGTAAAATGTAGTATGTTTAAATGAATAATGATGAATAAATTGATTAAAATAAATTGAGCATAATGATAAAAAGAGAAATAGAATGATTAACAATATAACTCATATTACAAGCCAATAGGATTTACTATAAGTTAATGAAAAAGCATAGTTTATTTAGAAAAAATTGTATTGAATAAAAATTATAATAATGTAGTTAGATAAATAATGAATAGAAAAACAAATATATAACTAATATAATAACACAGTTTTTAAATAGTTATTGATTTATATAGTTATTAAAAATATTATTTATAAGCATAACACTTATTGGTTGTAACTTCCAACAAATTTCAATAATTCGATTCTTGTTATGTCGGTTTAAATGATTTCAAATTCTAAGTATACTATTCATATTGTTAATGTTTTTTGAATGGTTCATATTTATTACTGTGTTAAAGCTTTTTGTTCATTTTATCTCAAAATTTTCTATTATTTCATTTACTAATATCAAATTTTTATACTTAAATAATCAGTCACTATCATATAGCCAATAATTTATATATTTAATAATTCATTGAAAAATATTGGTTTATTTTCCTTGCATTGATATTATTTCTTCAATACTGTTACTATTATTCAAATATTTATTTAGTATTATTTACCATTTTATTCTTTCTTTATTTTATTCTCTAATTATGTCGTGTTTTATTGCTAAATATTGTCATTTATATTGTTTATTATATTTATTATATCTTTATTTGTTCTCAATTTATTGTATATATTGTCTTATCAACTATATATTGTCTTTCTATTATTTCTTCTTGTCTCATAAATTGTAAATTTCATTGTAGTATACATTAGTTGAATGAAATACATTTCATTTTATTATTATCATTTTATACTTATTTGTTAATTTATAAAGTGAAAAAAAATATAATATTATTTCCTATTATTTTGTTGTTCAATCATGATTAATTGTCATTAGAAATAAATGATTGAAGTATGAATGAGAATAGTTTAGTAAATAATGAAATTAACAAATACACGTCATTCATTAAATAAAACAAATACTATTTCATTTTTATTCCATTGTATTTATTATTAATCAGACAGTTTTAATGTTCCAAGAAACAAATGATGATAAAACATAAATAAAAATAAATGTAAATAAATAAAATGATAAAATTAATTAGTATTGAATGATTGAGAAGTGAGATGATATTATTGAATTACAAAGTTAACAATTACATAAAATTTATTATTTATTATTCTTTATTTCATTTCTTATATTCTTAATAAGTAATTTAAAAAAAAACTAACATAATATACCAATAATAAATAAAAAGATGATGATAAATTATGTAATAGAAAAAAGAATAAAACTAGTCTATTATTTGATATGACTAATGTGGCTAACCACAATATTAATTAAGCTTATTTGAAGAAAAGAAATAAGTATAAGGAATTAAAGAATAGAATAAAAATAGAGAAAATAAAATATGTCAAAATAAATGGAGTAGTAATTTCAATTAGTGGATTAGTAAACAAAGAAAATATTAGATTAATTAAAGAATTAAAAATTAACATTGACATTATTAAAGAAATTAAAAACCTTTTAATAAAAAACATGATATAGATGTCATAAAGTATTGATTCTTAACAACCAAACATACTCTGTAGAGATTCTAGATGAAAAATCAGTGATGTATTTAGTTTGAAATGAGCAAAGAAGAAACAGAATATAGTTCTTCTAATACTTAATTTATTGGTGATTATTAATATTTTTGTAACTTTTTGCATATTTTCAGTTAATCCATTTCATACCAGCAAAAATCCAAACACCATTAAACTTTACCATTCTATAAGAATTGTGAAGAGTTTGAAAACCTTTAACTAAGAGAATATTATTTTTTCTTAACAATCATTTTTCAACACAAGCTAGTTCATGTTATACTCATCTTTCAAAACAAAGTAAAAAAATAGCAGAATTAATTTTGCAATATAAAAGAATCCCCATCTTTTAACACAGGAAAAGTACTTGTTAATGCTTCTTGGCTCTTCTTTGTCAATGTTGCGTTTAAAGAGTCTTGTACCCCACACTTTCCTTTTATAATATACTTTCCATAAGGATCAATAATTGCACTTTCACCTATATAATGAGAATCTTCATCATTTGGTAAGCAATTTGGTAAAGAACCACAATTATTAGCAGCAAGAACAAAACATTGATTTTCTATTGCTCTTGCTTTTGTTAATATTTTCCAATGTGCTCTATTTAACACACTCCAACAACCAACAATAATTAGAATATCATAATGATTTTCTAATGTATTTCTGAGCCATACAGGAAAACGTAAATCATAACATACAGCTAATAAAATATTCCATCCCTTATAATTTACAATACATTTCTTTGAACCATTGCTAAACTCCAAACCTTCTCCTCCCATATGATATAAATGATGTTTATCATACCAAACACATTCTTCAGATGGATAAACAAAATACATTCTATTATAAATTCTTTCTCCATCTTTAATAGTAATAGAACCAGTAATAGCACATTTTCTTGTTCTAGCAATTGTTTTCATCCATTGAAGTGTAGGACTTGATGAATGGTCTTCTGCAACAAGATGTGCTTTAGGTTGAAAACCAGTATTAAATGTTTCAGGTAAAACAAACAAATCGATGTCATTAGAGGAATGTTGAATGATTGATTGTATTTGTTTTAAATTTTCATCTTTATTCCAAAATAATGTAAAAGGTTGAATAACACAAACATTTAATGACATTAATAAGAATAATAATGACTTTAGTAGATTAAATGATATTTTTTATACAACTTCTATTAATTTAATAAAAAATTAATATAAAGATAAATTTAAAACCTCCAAAGAACAAAATAAAACAATTGATATTAAGCAGTATCAAGTTCAGTTCCCAAAGAAAAACGATATCTAAGATTAATTCTTCTAATTAATCTAAAACGTTCTCTCTTTGGTAATATTTGTAATACCTCTCTCATTTTTTGTAATAATCTTGGTTCTAATTCTTTAGCTCTTCTACACATCTCTTTTAATTCTTTTATTCGTTGTTGTTGAACCATACGATCCATAACACTTCTTCCTAATTTTGGTTTAATTCGAAATTCATTATCCAAAGCGATTAATGCTAATCTTTCAACTTCTTCAACTTGTTTTAATTTTTGGTCAAGTGCTTTTATAGCTGTTTCTACTCGTTGAATAGTTGGTGAAACAGTAGGAGTAGCAAATAATGGATCTCCTCCAGATAAATCAATTTGGGCATAAACCATTGAAAATGTCAGGAACAACACAGCAAAGGCATTTACCATGTTTAATCAAAATATAATACTTTAATAGTTTTGTTTTAAATATTTTCTTTCTCTTTTATTTTTTAGTTTTATTTTTTTAGATTTTCTTTTTTTATTGTTTTGATTTTTATCTCTATTTTCGTTATTTATAACATAAAATTATCACTTTCTTAATTTTTAATAATACATTGATGTAACTGTGATCCAAATAAAAAAAAGTCTATGGTGAAAGAAAACATTGGATTGTTTGTAACAAGCAACTACAATTATCAGTAAAACTAAAATGAAAAGAAATATAAATAAAAAACCCTATTTTTTTTTTATAATTTTGTTAATATCTTCAAAGTAATAATGAGTGCTCTTTCATTGCGTATTAATGCAAAAGATGGACGAGCAAGACAATGCACATTGACACTTCCTCATGGAGAAGTAGAAACTCCAGTGTTTATGCCAGTAGGGACAAAAGCAAGTGTAAAATCATTAACGTATGAACAAGTAAAAGAAATGGGATGTCAAATATTATTGGCAAATACTTATCACATGTTTCTTCATCCAGGAGTTGATGTATTAAAGAAAGCAGGAGGATTACATCAATTTGCTAAATGGGATGGAAATATATTAACAGACTCTGGAGGATTTCAAATGGTGTCATTATCTGATACAATGACAGTTAATGAACAAGGTGTTATTTTCCAATCTATTGTAGATCATAAACCAATTAATTTACCACCTGAAGAATCTATTCATATACAACAAGCAATAGGATCAGATATTATGATGCAATTGGATGATGTAGTTTCTTCATTAACAACTGGTCCTAGAGTAGAAGAAGCAATGGAAAGAAGTGTACGGTGGTTAGCACGATGTAAAAATGAATATCTTAAAACAAAAGAAAAACAAAATTTATTTGGTATTATTCAAGGAGGACTTCAACCAAATCTAAGAGAACGATGTCTTGAAGGTATGGTTAAAGTAGACACTCCAGGGTATGCAATTGGTGGATTATCTGGAGGAGAAGCAAAAGATGATTTTTGGAAGATGGTTGATATTTCTGCACAAGGACTTCCAGAAAATAAACCAAGATATCTTATGGGAGTTGGATATCCCGTTGAAATGTTGTTATGTGTATTATTTGGAGTTGATATGTTTGATTGTGTTTATCCAACAAGAACTGCAAGATTTGGAACAGCATTTAGTGATGATGGGTTAGTGACATTAAAGATTAATAAATATAAAGATGATTTTAATGTGATTGATGAGTCATGTGATTGTTTATGTTGTAAAAAAGGAAATGGACTAACAAAGTCAGCTCTTCATTTTATGTTTACAAATGGAGCTGTTGATGGTACTCCTGTAGCACAATATTTAACCCACCACAATATATCATATCTCTTTAATTTAATGAGGAAATATAGAGTGGCAATTAGAGAAGGTAAATCAAAAACATTTGCTCGTGATTATATTATAAGATTTTATGGAGGAAAAGAACATGTTCCACAATGGATTATTGATGCATTAACAAAAGTTGGTGTAGAGTTTGCATAAAAAGGAGTTACATGAAAAATATAAAAAAAAGATAATAAAATTTTTTAATAAGTTTAATTTTTTATTATTTTAATGAAAAATATCTTCACAAAAAGAAAAAATAAACATCTAATTATTTATATTAAAATGAGTGTAACAACTTCTTTATCCGCAGAACAATGGCAACATGACCATTTTATTGTTCATACAAGTAAAGCTGGTTATTTAGCTCAAAGTATTAGTGCAGTACTTGGATATCCAATTATTCCAATTATTCATAAAAAGTTTAGTGATGGAGAGTGTTATTATAGAATTGCTATTCCTGAAAGAACTTCATTAGTTGGAAGAGATGTAGTTGTTGTAAGTTCTATTGTTGATGACCAGGAATTACTTGAAGTAGTAAGAATTGGAGGAGAATTAGCAGAACTTGGAACAAAAAGAAGAATTTTCGTGATTCCATATCTTATGTATTCTACTATGGAACGAGCAGTTCATCCTGGAGAAGTTGTTACATGTAAATCTACAGTAAGAATGTTATGTGGTATACCATCTTCTGGGTTAGGAAATTTATTTATGTTAATGGACCTTCATACATCAGGTATTATTCATTATTTTGAAGGTACAGTTCAGGCAATGGAATTATATGCTGAAAGTACTCTTGAACAAGCAATTGCTGAGAATATTGATTTTAGTGAACCAGTAATTTTTGGTTCAGCAGACCTTGGAAGACCTTTATGGGTAGAAACTTTTGCTAATCATTTTGGTGTTGGAATTGCTTTTATTAGAAAAAGTAGGTCCTTTGAAGATACTCATGTTATAGGTGAACCTATTGGAGATGTTAAAGGAAAACACGTTGTTATTTATGATGACTTGACAAGATCAGCTGGGTCATTGATTAAAGCTTGTAATGCTTATTTAGATAATGGAGCTATTAAAGTGACTGCAGTTGTTACTCATTTATCATTAATTGATGATGATGTTGTACAAAAAGTTATTGACTCAAGAATTGATCGAGTAATTGCTACTAATAGTAATGTTAGATCTCAAATGGATGCAGTTAAAAATAGTAAGAAGTTTATTATTTGTGACATTTCTCCAGTATTTGCCAAACAGATTAGAGCATGTTTAAATAACAATAATGACTAATCATCGTTTATTTTATTTCTTCTTTTCTTTTTTTTTTAATAAAATAAAAAAAGAGATTCAAAAAACTCATTAAATGAGTAACGAACATCTCATTCATCAGTTAGAAAATGAAATACAAAAACTAAAGAAAAGAGTTGAAGAAATGGAATTAGTAGAAGAATTTCCTTCTGCTATTGATGCCTTTAAATATATACTTCAGGTATCGAATAATAATGATAATATAAAAGTTAAACAACTTATTCAACTTTATGAAAAACAATTTAATGAAAAAGACATTTTAATAGCAAATGAAATTAAAAAACAATTAACAAATAAAATAGAAGAATATAATGAAATAATTAAAAACAAAGAAATTAAAGGAATTGTATTAACTGTTATTTCACAAGAACGTAAAGAAGAACAAAAAGTTATTGAAAAAGTAATAGAATTATTTAATTTAAATAAAATAAATGAACAACGTAAAGATGAAATTCTTCAATATTTTGATCCATGTTTAATAGAATTAGAATTACTTAAAAAAGAAATAGGAAGTTATCAAAAAGGAATTAGAAATGAAATGCCCAAACCAATTCGTATTATTTCACATTCACCATCATTTGAAAATTTTAATTCATTACCAACATCAAAAAGTCCAAAAATAAATAACTATGGAGAAATAGCAAAAATTATTGAAAGTACATTTAAAATACATAGTGATACTATTATGATTTTAATGAATACTATTCATATGAATAAAATGAACTTTCTTACTGAAAATTATTCATCATTAGAGAAAATTACAAAAGAAGGATTAGTTAATATTATTAAAGGAAATGAAAATGTTATGATATTTTTCTTTTTAAAAAGAAATATTATTGTTGGTATTTATTTTAATACTCCTCTTCAACCTGATAAACAAATTAAAGAAAATGATCAATTTTTATTATTTATTATTGAAGATACAACAATTACTTTTTGTCATCAAAAAAGAGAACAAGGAACTTTAATTAGATTAGGAAAAGAAGATAATGATTTTAATGACTCTTGGATTGAAATAGAGAATGGTTTTAAATTATATCAAGAAAAGTCTGGAACTGTTTTTACTATTCCTAAATTAATACTTTCTTTTGATGAAAAATATATGAATGAATTTGTTATTCAAAAAAAATCAATTCTTTTTCCAAATACAAAATATGAATTAAATAAAATTGCTGCTTTAAAATGGTTTAATTAATAATTATTTTTATTTATTTTTTGTTTTTTTTGATTCAAAAAAATGTAATTAATAAAATAATAAATAATATTATAATTGATTTATACATTATAATTTATTACATTGAGAAAATTAGTTTCAATCTTAAAAGTATTTAAAGATGGTTATTAAAAGCAAAGGTCTTCACGAAGCTATTGCTAAAGTAACAGATAGAAATGCACCAAATGGTTCATGGGTAATTGCAGAAGTTATTGGTATGGGAGAACGATTCGATTTATATGATGAAGGAGAGGGAATAGAATCTTTTAAAGCAGCATTGCCTGAAGATAATGTTTGCTTTTGTTTAATTTCATTAAGAATGACATATGATGGTGTTCCTAATATTGCACGAGTTGTTTTTGTTCATTGGAAAGGAAGTAAATGTAAAGGAATGAAAGTTGTTCGTTCAAACCAATTAACTCAAATGGCATGGGATGTTCTTCAACCTCATCATGGTCAATTAGAAGTTCTTTCAGCCGATGAGATCACAGAAGAAGTTCTTTTAGGAAAGTTAGACCCAAAAGGAGGTTCTCATGTAATCAGTTAATTTTTTTATTTTTTTTTCAGATTTTTTCTTTATAATGTTAAGTCTTTTTGTAAAATTTTTATTCAAACGTATTATTTAGTAATTTAGAAACAAATTATATTGTATCGAAAAATTCATATTATAGTCTATAGGAAAGAAAGAAAAAGATAATTGATTAGAAAGGAATGAATGATACTTATTTAAATTATAAGGAATTATAACAAATATTATTTTTATATAATATTTTTTATAAAAAAATATTTACTTGTATTTGATAATTGTTAAAATTCAATTATTAAATGATTTGAATAATATAAATATATTAACTTCAATTCCTGAAATGAAAAGTGCATCTTTTTTACTGTCTTTTTGGTTTAAATAAAAGATATTTTCAATTGAAAGTAAAAAATTTTTACAATTTTGTTGTAATACTCATCAAATAATTATTAAAAATATATTCTATTATTTATTTTTAGGAAATCTATGTAAAAATTGAGTGAAAAAAAAAAAAGAAATAAAAAATGAATTACTATAATTTCCCTAATATTTAAAGGAAATTAAATTTCAAATGAAAAAAAACTATATTTAGGTTTAATATTTACTAAAAATAAGTATTTTCTTACTAATTAAAAAATAATATAAAATAATATAAAATATTATTAATAATGTATTTAGTTTGTAGAGTTGTATAATACGACATAATGAATCATTATACGAATATCAATTTTTTTTTATCTACAAGCAAGGATAGTGACTTGAGAAAAAAATCTTGTTTGTAAATTTCTATAGAATTAAAAGGATGAACTATTAAAAAAGTAATTTAATGAGCATTGAAACAAATACCATTTTATCTGAACCAATTCAATTTCAAAGAAAAAAAGAAGGCTTTAAGAAGACTCAAAATGAAAATCAAATACACTCATGTGTATTACACTCTTCATTAGGACCAATGACATGTAAGAAGAAATCCAATTATCTACTTCATCATCATCATGAATTTAATACTACTGTTTATTGTAATCCAAAAACTTCTAAAAAGGATAACGTAAATAAAGAAATTGATTATCCAACTGATTTAGATGATGAAGACCTTGAAGTTTTAGATATTTTATTAGCTATTGAATCAAAAGGAAATGAAGATACATATTTAGATGATTATGAACGTTGTAAAAATCCAGGTATGTGTCTATCATTATTTTCATTCAGTCATTAACTGTAAATAAATATATATTACTTCTATTATATTTGTTTTTTTATTTATTGGTTTAATAAAATATAAATAGATACTTTCTAAATCTGAGTAATAACATCAGTTACTTACTAAAGTAACTATAATTCGATGTTCTATTTTTGATAATAATTTTCTTTAATGGTTTTTTGATTGAACAAAGGTGCAATTGCATTTGTAAATTTATTATATGATGTAATTCAAATTATGTTTTTTATAACGAAAAATGTTTTTTTTATTATTCTTATTCTTACTCATCTTGGTTTTTGAATATTAATTATTTTAATATATTGTTATTTGAGAAATTCATAACTAGAATATGTAATTATTAATAATATAATAAAGTAATTGATAATAAGTTTTGTTGTTATATTTTTCTTCTTCTAAAAATTCAATGAGACATTATTTGAGAATAAAATAAAAGGTTTTGATGTAGAGTGTTTTATTTTATTTATTTTTTTCAATGGAGAGTATTAGTCCAATTTATTAATAATTTAATAAAACAATATTTGTTTTTGAATAAACTAAGAGAAAGATTTAACTATTCAAAGTAATAAAACACAAACTCAAATAAGAGAAAGTGTTATTTATAAGTAATGATAAGACGTATTTTTATTAGTAAATTAGAATTAATTATTAGAATACTCAAAAAATGATATTTAAGATAAATAAATTAATGAATTAAAATGTTAAAGATTTAAAGACTTCAAAACATTTAAAGAAACTTTTTCAGTAAGACGTTTCCATTCATTAACATATGATAGATTTTGAATAGAAAACATTAACTCTTCAATATCAATTTGACCTGCATTTGATTCTAATATAGTGATAATTGTATTAATTGTATCAAAATTTCCATCATTTGATAATATTCTTAAATATTTCCATCTTCCTTCTTTTGAATTATAGCAACATTCTAACACTGCATTTTCATCAGCATTATATTTAATTTTATCAGCTTCTAATAAACACAAATCACGATTATCAAAATTAACTTGTTGCAAATAAACAACAGAAGTATTATAATAAGATTTACAACATAAAGATACTTTACGAGAATTCTTATAAAATTGTTCTTGAATTCCTAATTTACAAGTAATTGTATCATTAAATTGCCATTTAAAGAAATAATTATTTGTAAAAGGAATATACTCAGAGTTTGGATAAAATAAAAATCCTTCAGTTAAATGGAATCTTTTTCCATCAATATAAGTAATTCCATATTTTGTTTTTTTCATAGCTTCAAATAATTTAGTAATAAGTTTAATTTCAATGAATGGTTTTGTATTTAAACAGAATATAATTTCATCATCTGGAACATTATTTTTTGAAATTTCTTCTCTAAATTTTAAAATAATTTCTTTTCCTAAAATTTGAAGTCTTTCAGTAAACAAATAGTTAGTTGTAACTGTGTTTTTATAAATTAAAATATCATTACATAAAAAGGTTGGTTTTTTTGTTTGAATATTTTCTATCATTTCTCCATCAATAATTGTTAATCCTTCTTTATAAATATTTGCAACTAATGGATATTGAACACTAAACACATTCATATCTTCATCAACCAATAACACCTCATTATTATCAATCATTAAAAAATATTTTTTTCCTTTAGATTTTTCACAAAGTAAGTATTGTGGTAATGCTTTATCATGAAACCTAATATTATGAAGTATTTTATAATGTTGTCTACTAAGAAATATTGGGATAGTTCCTGGAAATACTGGATCTGTTGGTAATTCATATCCAAATACTTTAAATATTTTTTCAAGATATTGTCTACTTAATTCTGATGGTATTTGTTGAATGTCTATTTGTTCAATTCCATTTGTTTCTATATTATTAATATCTTTAATTGTGTTATAAATATCACTACATATATTATGAATTATTGCTTCATCATTTGTTTTGTTAATTCTAATTCTTAGACAATGTTCAATTGTTTTCTTTACCCATTCTTTT